TAAACAAAATATGCTTTCTTTCAGTCAATTAATAGAAAATCACGTCTTCTTTGTATTTTATACTCAATGAAGGAGTATAATTAGGTTTAAAAATGTTTCTAGTTATGAGATTTTTGAGGACCGCGCAATGTCAATTCACATAGCATCGTACCTGGACGTTTACCACAACTCCTCATGAAATATACAACATAGTCCGCATCCATTACAAAATTTTGTGGACTCTGTATGATATCTTTTTAAAGGCATAGAAAAATATGTGATTTTCTTTACGCGAACGCATACACCTTATAGACTGAAATCACTTAGCGCTAATGAAGCGAATGATCAGGCTCCAAACTATTCGCGAATTAGAAAACTTTTTAAACCTAATTATACTCCTTCCTTGAGTATAAAATACAAAGAAGACGCGATTTTCTATTAATTGATTGAAAGAAAGCATATTTTTGTTTATGGTTTCTATAAGATATATTTGAATTTGCAAGACCATCAAAAATCAATGGGGAAAATGCATGCTAATTTAGTAGTCAGTTTTACCTCTTACGGTTTCTACAGAAGATTGAAAAGCAGTGTATTCAAAAGTTGACATCCCATCTAGTCCGAAATATTATAGGATTATGGTGCAAGATAATTAGTATTACAACCGCGCCTAAGTAATCCTTCCTAGTCGAAAACGCATTACAGAATTTCAGCCAGTAGTTCATGAGATCGGTCACTCACTGTACGTGGAGGCAGTCGAGGTACGATAGATTGACAACTGTAAGGTTCCAAAATCAAAAACCGGGGAGACAGAGTTGGTCGTACAAACTTTACTGGCCTAAAAGAATGTACAGGCACTTCGGCAGATAGTTGAAATTAGTCGCGTCAGCAGGCGAGTGGGTGCGTCTTAACCTTGTCAGCCTATAGCCAATCGGCAATGGACGTGTCGTCGATTGGTCTCGAGTTGTCACCGCGCTATTGTCAGGTCCTAGGCGATTCAGACAATCGATTGGCAGGGGGCGAGCTAGGCGGACTGAATGCGCATGAGCGAGCGGTTGCGGTGGGGATCAGTTCAGTTCACTTCAGACTTCCGTAAGGCGTCTTCTAAGGAGTGGGGCAGCAGTCTACTAGGACTTTTTAATATTCATGCCTAGGCTTCCTCGACAGTACTTAGCTATCACCAGAATACAACCTGCTATTGTAGTCACAATGCAGTTTCATGTCAGAACAAAAGTAAACAACATCTGCTGGGAAGGTCTAAGTGGGTGTCTGAAGTAAAGGGGGACGACTTTGGCTTTCTAAGAGTTGAGCCTGGTGGATCGAGTGTAGTGGTCGGACTATGGTTGGGACGGAGCATACTGGCCACTCCAATGTCGTTAGTCCTGGTTAGTAACCCCTTTAAATAGACGCTTGTCTGCCACTGCGCAAAATACTGGACCTACGCTGAACTTAGAACTCCAAGGCAAGGTTGGCAAACGTGGAAGGACGCTCAACGTTTGCGCTACGGAACTCACTCGTCCCGTTGTGCCTTGGGGTTCGAGAGAGACCCCTAAGGCACAACGGGATGAGTGAGTTCCTAGCGCGATTAGCGAGCGTCCCTCTACCATTGTTTGTCCCCGATCACAACCAGCAGGACAATGAGCCCGTGGCTCAGTGGTTAGGGGCATCGGACTTCTAACCAACAGATCGCTGAACCGAGCCCCGGGCCTAGCACACCTCGGGGTTGGGTATGTCTGACTGACAGCGGATAATAAGTCAGAAATAGCCATTCCAGTCTGCCTGGTCTTTGTCGGTTATTCTATTTTGCCTAGATGACAGTTTGACCATCGTTTTCGATGATGTCCACCGTGTGCCCCACAGTTACAGCAGCAATGGGAGCAGGAACGGTTATTTACGCGGGGGTTTATAGTGCCAGTAGACTTGCGTAGCATCTACCTACACTCTCTCCTCCTCCCTCGCCCAAGCCCGGTGTCAAGACAGAGTCAAGAAGACCGGAGACGAGAGAGGCCGCAGGTGGATGGCTCGGACGGATCCTCACCTTGGCGTTCCACCACACCCCCTGGTCCACACAACAAATAACCAGGATTTCAACCAACACAAGAGAGATTTGGAGGCTGGCACGGCCGAAGCCGCACCTGGGCGTGCCGCCAACGCTTGGCTCGGATCCCATACTGTGATGGGAGTGCCATAAAGGCCACATTAAAAAGGAGCCATTGCAGCCTGACTCTCCGACCGTCTCCGGTCAAGGAGGAGGTCCAAGTTACCCCGTCAGTTGGCAACCTTCCAAGCCACGGCTTTTAGCGCACCGTGATAGCGTCAAGCGCGTCAGATTGTTTATAGTGAGGAGAAAGTGCGCTGAGTCGTCGACCTCACTCTCCCTTCCCACTCCCACACCCCAGCCGCTGTCCGAGCCGGTCAGCAGACTGGAGTGGGGAATGGGCGCGGTGGCTGTCATGGTCGAATGACCATGACTGCGCGCGCCACGGCACGACCTGGCCCCCCATGCACACAACACCAGGATTTCACACAACGGGGGTTGAATGGCGTGTCTCTCACTTGCGTGAGAGTGCCGCGGAAGGTGCTGTTTCAGCCCGTTCCCAGCCCACCAGTCCGCCACTCCACACAACACACACACAACGCGACGAACTGCGTGAACCGAAAGCGGGCGTCTATCAGCAACCTTCCTATCCACGACGCTTGACGTGTCGGGATAGTCTCGGACTCAAGTCACCCGTGCAGCCGAAGCCGCATGGGGACCGAGTCGAGATGCGGAATTCCCACTTGCGTGGGAGGTGGCAGTTGGGTGCATGAGGTGTGTGAGTGTTGATTTCTGGTGGGGTGATGGTGGTGGTGGTGGTGGTGGTGGAGGAGGAGGTAGGGAGTGAGTGAATGTGTGATATGGTCGGCGGTTGTCTACCGCAGGTCGTCGTGGATTTGCATGTGGCCGAATAGGCCCATGCGATGCCTGAAAGTGCGGGGGCAGTGTGGGCAGTTGAGACGAGCTCATGTGCAAAAACGTTGTGTGGGCACGTAGTGCCGTGTAGACGGATGGCAGATCGAGGTAGTTCTGATCTGGGCCCACTGAATTTCTCTCTTTTCTCTCTCCCTCTTTCTCTCTCTCCATTTGGGTACATCTGCCTCTCCCGATAAATGGTAGGGGCCGCCTTTTGCTCTGAACATTCCCCAGATGCGGTTGGAGTCAGCCCTCTTGGCTACTGGCGCACTGCAAGGAATTCATACTGGCCAACAGCACGCGCTCCAGCAACTTTTTTTGCTTTGAAAGAGGGACCTGCTGTGGAAACTTGGTCTTTTCAAACGCTGTTTTCGCAAGTTAGTGACAGACTTGGAATTCCGACGAGAGTTGGTCCTCCATTGTGAACTAGATTGGGGAGGGGGGGAGGCAGATTGGTTGAGTTTTGTCTGAAAACTCTCTATACTGGTCCGTTTGACGATACAAAAACGCATCGTTGGCGTATGACGTTCAACATCTTTTCTGCGCGCCTATTACTGACTAAAAGCAGAAATTTCAGAGATCAAATAAAAGTATCTTACCGAACACTGCTTAGTCTGATATGCTTCCTAAGGACATAATTTTCACCTTCTTTATTGCATTTTTACATTGGTTTTCGCATAAACAAGCTTCACTCTGCGCTGTCTAAGAGTGCCATGTGACGCTTCTTTTATCTTCCCCTGTTTACGTGTTCTTCATACGGCGATTGGGAATGCAGTGGTCTTGTTTCCCATTGGTACGTGAATGCTGCTATTTTTAGGCTTCCCGTAACTTTAAGCGGTTATAATGCCCGCAGTGTCGGCGCGTGTCTACTTGAAACAGCATCTACAGCCTCTACCCATGCTCCCTCCCCCCCCCCTCCAGTGCTGTGACACTCCTGCCGGCATCTACAATCGCAGCGCACTCCTGTCTGACACATGTTTATGGCGACTAAATAGTGGATGAGCTTCATGGAGACAAGTTCAAGTGCGCTGTGTGTTGAAGGGCCAGTTCGGCCGTCGTTGCAGACGCTACCCATCGTGTGCTTCACAGCAAGGTGAAGCAAGCACAGTTAGTGGCGCGTGATTTAGTTTATGGCGAATGCAGACTTGCACTGCATCTAGTGCACTCTCTGCTTCTCCCCACCTGAGCCCGGTGTCAAGACAGAATCAAGAGGAGCGGAGGAGGGGTAGGGCGCAGGTAGATGGTACGGCTGGTCCTGCAACTTGGCGCTCCATTACACATCCCCTGGTCTACACAACAAATGGCTAGGATTTTAACCGGTATTGCGTCCCAAAATGTCCCACGAGGCCAATTCGCGCGCCGAATATGCGTTAGCAGCGCGGGCATGTTGGAAGCGGCTGACTGTCCGCATTGAGGAGTCGAAGCATTTGTGACTTGCGGGCCTCCCTTCTATCTTTGGCGGCGACGAGCCGATTGGCTTCGCAGATGCCTGCACCAGTTTTCACTTCTTTTGTTCCGGCCGGTCTGTCCTAGACGAGGTCCTTCCAGATCTACAGTTGTTTCAGAGAGTTCTTCAAAGTGTCATTGCAGCGCCGCGTTTGTCCTCCTTGTCGAGGAGTGCCCCTGGCGACATCGCCATAGAAGAGTCCTTTGGGTGGTCGATCGATCTCAACAGGGATCCCCTCCGATCCGGGCGTTTTCCTGCTAGAGAGTCGCTGCACGGTCCTGATGGTTTCATGGAGAGAGGGCGAAAGGTCAAAGTCGGCGTTGATCTCCAATTCAGTCAGTCAGTCGAGGCCGACTACGGAGATGGTGGAGGGCGGTTGAGGATACTTCCGAAGAGCCTGGCCCAGCGTTTTAGAATTTGCGCTTTTTCAGTGAGTGGAATAGTTCCGCTGGCGCTGGGAAGAGGAGCACTTACTTTGATTGTGGCACCGTAGACAACCGTGATCACAGCGAAGACGTCTTCCCACTCATTGCGGCCCGCGTACTCTAGGATCTCCTCGGCCTTGTGAGCCGTCCATGCGTCCTGCATTTCTCACAGCCGCTGTTGTAGAAAGTGGCGACTTCTTTAGAAGGCTGCTTTGTTTGCGTCAGTAAGGTGGTTGACGTAGGTTTTGTGCAGCCGGTTCCTCTTGGCAAGCAGACTGCTGATGGCGGCGTCGTTGAACTCCTCCTGGTGCTGAAAACGTGCATGGCCAAGGACATCCACGGCGGTCGACTGGACTGTGTTTCTCAGTTGGTACCATCGGTTTTCAACGGAGGCATCCTCGTCGTCGGCGGCGGCGACTAGAAGGTTATTGAAGAAGAAGACACGATCGCCGGGACAAGAGCTTTATTAGCCTGACGTTTCGGATTCCTGTTCGAATCCATCATCAGAGACATAAGCAGATAAGGGTGGCTCATGCACATGCGGCTGCAGTATTTATAGGATACAGTAGCCATGCCACCGCATACCTATAAGGTTAACTAGCAACTGGGCCAGTTCTTTGCTGAAATGGAAATGATGAGCAGACACAGTCTACACAGCAGCATTCAACTCACCTGGTGGTCGGTCAAATAGTTAACTGTTTTTGTACATGACCCATAAGTCTGACGAAGATCTAAGGGACCAGACTCGGAAATGACGTGTCTTGGGATGCCCGTTTTCCTTAATGTTTCTATATATGTACGCGTGAAGACTAAAGGCCCAGATATCTTGTCGCGTTCATCATCCTCAGAAAATAACGAAGAACCGGCGGGTTCATGGGCCGATGTTGCGGAAACTTCCTCTTCCGCTCTTCAGAGTGGTGTGGTGGCTGTTCCAGTTTGTCCCTATTTGCTCAGCCTCATCGCCTGCCCCGCTTTATAACCGTGTTTGATGCCCGACGCTTGACCTGACCGTTTTCTGCGGACTCTCTTTTATCTCGCCGTAGTCAACCGCTAAAGAGCTGGTGTTATCTTTGTCCCCTTTGCGCGTGTCAGATTCAGCCAAATCAGCAAGCTTGTTCGCCTCTCCCTCGTCATCCGGCGTACTGGTCAGTCAATGACGAAATTGAGAATGCGGATGGCATCTGCTAAGCCAATGAGACGATGATCAGATCGGGACTCAAATTTAGTCCTCTACCGGCACACTTAACCGAACCATGAACTTGCAGCCAGGCCGAACTAAATTCGGACAGCACAGGTGATTAAAGTCACGTGGGACAATCAGCTGACGTTTACGGAGAAGGGGGGGGGGGGAAGAGACAGCCGACGGTCAGGTGGTCAGCATGTAACGCCGTCTCATTGAAGAGCACGCGAGGCTCAGGGCGATTCTCTCGAGCAGTAATAACTAATCAGTGCGTCGGATGATGAGGGGGAGGCGGCGAACAGGCACGTTTATGTGACGGTAAATAACGGCCGCAAAGGAGACAAAGGTAATGTCAGGCTGCCAGCTGTCGTCCACGGGGGGGGGGGGGTTAAAGCATGTCGGCAGCAAATGAGCAAGTCAAACGTCGTGAGTCGAGCGCAGCTATACTGCTAGGCAAGCAATGACGTTAAGTGGAAAAAGGGAAACGGCGACAGCCACCACACCACTTTGATTCCAGTGACGAGGTAATTCGCGAAATCTCTTACAAAATATAGTTCGTCCTTGAACTGGCCTCCTCCTCGCCATTTTCTAGGGAGGATGGTTTATATAAATTGGAAGAAGACGTCATTTAGTACCGAATTAGCAAAGGAATGAATATTTTAGGCATGATTTCTGTGAAATATAATTGAGCATCTAAGGACATCCAAAATCGATGAGAAAAATGCATGCTGATCAAGTAGTCATTTTTTGTAGAGTATGCTTTTTGCATGCAAATGGAAAGAAGGTCGTCCGAAAGCCGACATCCTAAAATAACTGAATGACTATTGAATTATTCTGCACGATGATCAGTTTTGGAACCCTACTTAATTAATCTTTTCGAGACAAAGAAGCATTACGATATTTCGCTTTACATTTTATGAGTTAGCCCACTCACTATATATATATATATATATATATATATATATATATATATATATCACGTTCATCATCCCCAAAAGAAGACGAAGAAGAAAAAGAGGCGATGCCATGGACCACACTGTATTGGTGCTGACGTTTCGGAATCTTCCTCGATTCCATCATCAGAGTAGTGGTAGGGTGTTTGTTCCTGCTAGCTCAGAGTTGTTCTGTCTCGCCGCCTGTCTCGTGTTATAGGCATGCCTGCTACATGAACTCTGACCTGCCTGCTGGCGGGGGATTGGCTTAGGTCTCTCCGTGGCCGACCGCTGGGGCGCTGGTGTGACCTCTGCCCCCTGCCCGGCCGCTGTTGTCGCTGCTAGGTCCGTGTGCCCTTGGGCCCTCCCCCCATAATTTGACGGGCTGATCAGCTGCCGTTGCATGTGGGAATCGGGGTCGGCTGTTTGGGCGCGTCGGTGGGTCGATATCTCGCGTCGGTCGTCTGACACCCGGCTGGCTCTCTCCCCCTGCTGGGAAGGTGACAACTGTTGAGAGAGCCACGATTTGTTCGCCAGTGCTGTCGGCCCCGTCCGAGCTGACTGGAGCCTCGTACGAAGGGCCTGGTAGGCCGGATGAAGATCAATGGCTCTGTTTATTGTGTCAACTGAGGACCAACTTTCGAGAACCAGTCTGGCCATCTTGTCGCTCGCTCGGCCGATGATGCTCGCCTCCCCAAAGGCGAAACTGTGCTTCTCCTGTTGTATGTGGCCATATACCAGGGACAGCTTATCCTCGCGGTTGAATGCAAGCTGGTGCTCGTGCAATCTTGTGCAGAGGCGTTTGCCCGTTTTACCAACATACCTTGCACCGCAATCTTGGCAAGGTATGCTGTAGACCACTGCTGACTGTTCCGTTGCAGGTAGCTGGTCTTTGGGCCTCATTATCTGCTGTCTGATGGTGGATTCCGGTTTATGGGCCACCCCAATCCCAAAAGGGCTCAGGATTCTTGCTGTCGCCTCAGAAACATTCCTCATGTAGGGGATTGCGAGCCAGAAGTTCGGCTTCTCGTCGTTAGATCGTTCGCGGTTAAATCCTCTTCGGCACTCACGTATGAAGGGTCGTGGGTAACCATTGGCTGTGAATAGGGAATGCAGGTACTTCACTTCCTCCCTTATCCCGTCGTTGTCATTACAGTGTGTTTGAACTCGTTGGAAAAGAGCTCTGACACAACTGCGTTTGTGACCGATGGGATGGTTACTCCGGAATTGGAGGATGCGTCTGGTATTCGTTGCCTTTCGGTATACCGTACTTCTGATCCCCCCATTAGCCATTCTTGTGATGTTTACGTCAAGGAAGGGCAACTGGTTGTTGTACTCCTTTTCCATTGTGAATTGGATGTCGGGGAATATTGAGTTCAACAAGACTTTGAAGTCCTGAACGTCGTTCCTCTTGATTACGACAAATGTGTCGTCGACGTATCTGGCCCAGAATTTTGGGGAGTACGAACGGAAGACCAGTCGCACGAGCCTCTGTAGAACAGCCTCGGCAATCAGTCCAGACAGCGGGGAGCCCATGGGTGTTCCCTTCTTTTGTTCGTAAATCCGGTTGTTGAAAGTGAAGAAAGTTCTGAGGCACAATTCCAGGAGTTCGATGACGTGCGTTCGTTTAAGCCGTTGATCAGTTTCATCGTACTTCTCCTGAAGAAGCTCGTTAATGGTGCTGATGGCAAGGTCCTTTGGAATGGAGGTGAATAAGGAGACCACATCAAACGATACCATCATCTCGTCTGACTCTATTTCTAGATGTCTGATACTCCTCAAAAACTGCTCAGCCGATTTCACCGTCCATTCGGAATCCCCGGTCAGGAAACGGAATCGTTGGTAAAGCCATTTCGACAGTCCAAAGGTCGGGGTGCCGTGTAATGAGACTATGGGGCGTAGAGGTACTACCGGTTTATGCACTTTTGGCAGACCGTAGAAGCGCGCCATGGCGGCATCGGTGGCTTTTGCGGCCAGTGCTTCCTGCCTCTTGAGGGCTCCTGCCTTCCTTAACTTGTCTATCGCCTTGTTTACACTGTTCACGTGCTTCTTGAACTCTCCAGTCTCCGAAAGCTTATAGGCAACTTCGTCCTCCAACAGACCTTCCAGTTTCGTCGTGTACTCGGTTTTGTCCATGACAACCGTCGAGCGTCCCTTGTCGGCGGGCAGGGTGACGATATCCCTCATCTTCCGCATTCTCAGAAGTTCTCGGTCTTCTGCTTCGGAAATCACCCTTTGAGGTTTGTGCTGGAGGAGAAGAGTTGACACTTGCTGCCGCATGGAATTTTTGTACTCCTCGTTGGCTTCACACTTTTGAAGGGCCGACTCGAAGGATGCGATGAAATCTTCCGGTCGAGCATCTCTGGTGTTGAACTTGGCATCATAGGATAAAACCTCCAGCTGTTGTTGTGTGAGGCGACGAGACGAGAGGTTGTGAACCAGGACACCGTCAGTAAAGGGCTCCATTTGTGGACGTATTCTTTCGAACTTCTCTAGCAATTGGTTGTCGCGCAACCTGCGGTGGCAACGTGCATTGCTGAGTATTGTCGATTCCAACATTTGCAGATCGTGTGCGGTGACTATTGACCGGCATGCGGAAATACACTGTTCTATCGCTCGTCGGTAATTACGGATGCGAGCGTGGCAGTCTTGTATCAAGACTCGGATCATCTTCTTCTTGAAATCTGCCATTGTCCGCTGGCAGAGGTCAGTCCTCACTGGCAGGCTATATCGGAGACACTTCGGCAAGACGTTCTCCTCGAGGCAACGATGCAGGAACTTCAGCTGCGCGTAGGTGGATGACTCTCGTTTAGCAAAAGTCTCCCATCTGCGTGCTGATCGGAGGGCTGTGCGCCCATAGGATAAATCAACATGAGTGAAGATTCGAGGTCCAGATAGATTATCACGTTCATCATCCCCAAAAGAAGACGAAGAAGAAAAAGAGGCGATGCCATGGACCACACTGTATTGGTGCTGACGTTTCGGAATCTTCCTCGATTCCATCATC